TTGGGGTCCTTGTCGAACTCGGCCACGGCGTTCATGAGCATCAAGGCAAAGAACAAGTTGAACAGCAGCGGGGCCAGGTTGCATCCCTGTCGGAGACCTTGGCCGACGTCAAACCATTCCGAGTACTGCCCGTCGTCCGTTCGGACGCGCGCCCTCATGCCCTCGTGGAAGTGGCGAATGACCGCCAGCATCTTCGGGGGCACGCCGAAGCGTCGGAGCACGTCCCACAGTAGGTCTTGGTCCACCGAATCGTATGCCTTGGTGAGGTCGACGAAGTGCGCGAACACCGCAGTACTCTTCTTCCTCGTGAGCTCATGGAGCCGCTGGATGGCGAACAGCATGTCGAGCGTCGACCGGTGTGGGCGGAAACCGCTCTGCTCCTCCGGGAGGATGCCCTCTCGCTCGCAGCAGTGGCTCAGTCGTGTAGCGACGAACTTAAGCAGCACCTTGCCGGCATGTGCGACAAGAGAGATGCCCCGGTAGTTGCCGCACTCCATCCTGTCCCCCTTCTTGAACAGCACTTTGATGGTGGCATCCTTCCACTGCTGTGGTACGTCCCCAGTCTGCCACACGTCCACGACAATGGCGTGGAACTCGCGGAGGAGACCTTGATCTCCGTCCAGGAAAAGCTTGATCAGCTCAGCCGGTAGGTCGTCCGGCCCGACGGCCTTTCTGTTGGCCATTTCCCGTACCGCTTCCTCAACCTCAAGTTGAGATGGAATGTCGTCGAGTGGCACGCATGTGGGCCACCGCTTGACCTTGTCAGCCGCATGCAGGTCGATGGTCGGCGACTTGTACATACGCCTGAAATACACACACACCCTCCAAAGTGGCAAGTACATACAGTCTACTGCTGCTGTAGGAAGGAATTGAACAGGCGTAGTTAATGTTTTTGTTGTGGAACGCCAAAGAAAGCTGGCTTGCTTGTGCTTGAGTTACGAACATGCATGCACATCTCACGAAAAACTGCAAGTAAGTTTGTTTGCCGCTGTAATAGTAGTCTGCCATTGACGCTGTACGGTAGTATTAAAGATGCTGCCGTAGCCTGTACACTCTACCGTATCCAGGTCAACGGTAGAGAGTTTACGTACGTTTGTTGTGCGGTGTGCCACTGCAAGCACATAATACCCCTGCCTGTCTTTCACAGGTGAACGGTAGATATAAATAGGGGGAATTATGCACATTTCGTGGATACCACAAGCATTTAGTGGAATATTTTCTGGAAGTTGTCACAAGTAAATTCGGCATTGTTGTTTTTACTGTTGTCTTCACATTAAAAACCGTTCCGATCTCTCTCTACCCAGTACATTCGCTTGTCCGTACTGATCCAGCACTCGACGCGGTCGATTCCCGTGGTCACAGGTTAACTTACTCTAAAGGTACACTCAAATAAACTGGCCCGAGGGGTCCGCAAGTCAATAGAAATCAACGACAGATATTTTGGAGTCCTCCACTCCCTCTGCGCGCTATGCGAGGTAACAACTGAGACTAGGAGTCACCATCGCAGGCCGGAGAGAAAGAGGTACAAGCCCTTGGTTCAATCTTGGTACTTCACAACGCAAGCAGAGACAAGGCCATCTGGCACAGAAAAAGAGAGAGAGAAAAAGAAAACAGAGAAAAAGAGAAGAAAATAAAAGGAAACAGTAAGGAGAGAGAAAATGAAATGAAAAAGAGCGAGGACAAAAACGGACCAGGCCGAAAATAACAAGAAATAAGAGACAGAAAAAGGCACACGGTGGAGAGATCACTAACGAACAAGCAAACACGCAAACATGGCCACCAACCAGCGATACATTGTAATGGTACGTCATCACTAGTGGGGGGTTCGTGCAATGGTGCAGCGTTGGGCAGGGGGAACTGGCCAAAAGAAATTCAGTTCGGCACGTATCGCGCCACTCGGCCCGTCTATTCTGGTTTGCTTTCTTCCCTCGCCCTCTCGTCCGTCTCCTGCCCGCCTTCCGCCCCATTGGTTGTTGGCTTGTGGTTTCGTTTGAGCGCCCGTTGTCGGCTGGCCTCTTCGTCCTTCTCGTGCCAGGAGGTCATGAACCTCGCAGCTCCCTGCATCGCCGCCGCATGCCAGGGTACTACCCCCTCCACCTTCGCGGCTTCCGTCAACTTTAGCTTCGGTGCCGTGTCTTTCGGTACCGGGATTCCGAGACAACATGGATCGGTTGTCGTAGATCCGTGGTCGGCCCCGAATGCCTGCAGGTCGTCGAGCACACACTTTAGCCAGTTCTGCTCCTGTCCCCGACTTCGTCGCTTCTCCCCCTCCGCCAGTTCGCCGAGCATCAGTCGTTTCTGGAATCGCCCGTCCGGCTGCCTTGCCAATGCTCCCGCGAACAGTAGGCGTCGTTGTCGGATCGTGGCTTCAACGCTCTGGCATTCGACCCTCTTCAGCGTCTGGGCGAAAGAGAGCTGCCGGTAGGTGTCTTTCTTGCGCTTTTACCCGATAACTCGAAGGAGCAGTCGGTGGTGTATCGACCGCAGCGTCTGATANCCTGTAATTGTTACAGTTGGACCGGTCACCCTTCTTGTCCAGCACCTTGATGGTTGCATCCTTCCACTCTCGCGGGATATCTCCTCCGTTCCACACCTTGACGAGGATGGTATGGAGGTGTCCCAGGACGAAGGGTTCGTCGTCATCGACCTTGAGCAACTCGGCAGGGAGGGAGTCATGGCCGGGTGCCTTCCAGTTCTTGAGACCTTTCGTTGCCCATTCCACCTCCTCGAGTTCTGGCACCTCTCCCAACCGTTGAGTGTCACGTGTTGCTGGCGGCTGCGTCACTCGTTCGGTGATGTCTGGGTTCAGGGTGGGGGATTTGGTGTTGAGTAGGGTGCTGAAGAATCTCGCACACCGCTGGAGGATGTCGTCCCTGTTCCGGAGCAACACGCCGTTCTCATCCGCGACGAACTGCTGTCCCCCCGCTTGCCTCCCGCTGAGGCCCACTGATCTCTTAAGGTGTTGGTACAGTCCTCGCATGTCGCGATCTTTGTAGATTGCTTCGAGTTCAGTCACATATCCGTCCAGGTGGGCATAAATGCCCGTTTCGACTGCTGTAGCCACTCCCTTACACGCTGCTTTGGGAACCCTCCACGTTGCTGAGTTCCAGTTGCCCCTCATCGCTCGGCGCGCTTCCCGCCGGTTGTTAAGGGCCTGCTCTAGCCCTGCTCTCGTCTCTGGGGTCTCACACCACTCCTGCGTGCGGCGTCTCCGCGGTTCCTCCCACAGGGTCGTCCGCGCTGCTTCGAGGAGAGCATTGGTAAAGTCGGTCGCCAATTCCGCGGCGGTGGTTGTTCGCTTGTCCAGCCGTGTGTCGAGGTTGAGGAGGAACCGATCAGTCACCGCACACCGTGCTGCTTCGAACTGCAATTCCCGTCGGTTGAATTACTCTTGTTTTGGGTTAGTCCGGGCTGCACGGTTGTGGGCAAGCCTGCCACCGAGGTTGATGGTGGCTACTACCATATTGTGGTCTGAGTCTGCTTTGACTGGGCGAACCGGCTGGGGGATGACGACCACGTTAGATACTCGGCCGTGATGTGCCTGCCTTGTCAGNTTGGGAACCCTCCACGTTGCTGAGTTCCAGTTGCCCCTCATCGCTCGGCGCGCTTCCCGCCGGTTGTTAAGGGCCTGCTCTAGCCCTGCTCTCGTCTCTGGGGTCTCACACCACTCCTGCGTGCGGCGTCTCCGCGGTTCCTCCCCCAGGGTCGTCCGCGCTGCGTCGAGGAGAGCATTGGTAAAGTCGGTCGCCAATTCCGCGGCGGTGGTTGTTCGCTCGTCCAGTCGTGTGTCGAGGTTGAGGAGGAACCGATCAGTCACCGCACACCGTGCTGCTTCGAACTGCAATTCCCGTCGGTTGAATTACTCTTGTTTTGGGTTAGTCCGGGCTGCACGGTTGTGGGCAAGCCTGCCACCGAGGTTGATGGTGGCTACTACCATATTGTGGTCTGAGTCTGCTTTGACTGGGCGAACCGGCTGGGGGATGACGACCACGTTAGATACTCGGCCGTGATGTGCCTGCCTTGTCAGGATGTAGTCAAGGCGCTTGCAATCGTTTCCCGACACACCGTTGTATGTGTGCCATATTCCGCCCTTGCGTGTCTCAAAGAACGTGTTCGTGAGAGCTAGCCTGTTTCCCGTTGCGAAGTTCAACAGTAGCATGCCATTGTCGTTGAGCTCATCACGCCCGTACATTCCTATTACCCTTCCGTCCCCTCCGTCCAACCTATCTCCTGTCCGCGCGTTGGCGTCCATTAGGACATGCACACATTCTTTGGAAGGGATCCTCCGCACGAGACTGTCAAGTTTTCCCCAGAACACGCGCTTGCTGTCGGCGGTTGAAGGTTCGGTTGGAGCATACGCGGCTACGAAGTTGACCGCTCCACGGTGGCCTGCCAACAGAAACCTCATGGCCATAAGGCTTTCGTCGATAAACTCCGTAGTGAACGTGGATGTCTTGCACAGTGACTCTTTGACGGCTATCCCCACACCATGGACTCCACCAGTCTCCGTGCCACAGCAGAACACCCGGAAACCCGCTGCTGCAAATTCCGTTCGACCTGCCCTCCGTGTCTCCTGCATTCCTACCACCGATACGTCTTGTCTCGCTGCCTCGTGTAGAACGCTGTAGGCTCGCCCGTATCCATTGGCCCCGTTTACAGCCAAAGTCCGCACATTCCAGGTTGCTACCCTAAGAAGTTGACCCTGCTGTCTCTTTCGCGCGGCGCGCGCTGCTCTCTTAGCTAGCCTACGCGCCGCCCGACCCCTCCTTTTCCTCCATCTTCCCCTCTTTTTTTGTTTTTTTACTATTTTCTTGCGAACACTCGGGCTAACGTGATAGTTACCCCGGTTCTTGCCTTGTTTCCCATAGAGTCTTGTCCCGGAGCGGTGTGGCCTTCCATCTCTGGGCTCTCTTCTTTCCTCTCTCTGGGGCATACCCCCACGGCGTGCGGTCACTCCACCACCCTCACCGTCCTCTCTGCTGCTGCATAGCCCCGGTGTCCAAGCCGGGGCGTCAGGATCCAGTCTCATTTTGCAGGTACCCAAAGCTAGCGGTTCACGAGCTACCCCGATCTTACGACAGCAGTAACTTCCAACCGCCAAACTCAGGATCCCCCTCTAATCAGTGCTAGGGACCGTATATCCGTCTTTGCTGGGTGGTCTTTCGAGGTCTAGATCCACTTGCGGAATCTCGGCCTACCCCAGGGACGGGGGGGGCAGGCCGGGGAGAGCAGCATATGTAGCGTGAAAGCGTGACCGTTTCGTGGAATTCTTAGTTGGTCTGCCTAATAAATAGTCTGAGGCAAGGTTGCAGAAGTACAGGTAGGTCTGCTGCTGAAGGAAGGAATGTGCACGTGTTTTTTTTTTCTTTTCAAGTTGTCGTTGTACACGAAAGCTCCTTGTAATCTAACGTAATTTCGCTTTTGCTTTGATATTTCGAACATCACATGCATTGCATGCACATCGTGAACTGCAAGTTTGTTATTGTCTTGTTGTGTAATACCGCCAATGACACACTGTAGCATTGAATGTGCTGATGTAGCCTCTACACTATACCATATACGGGTGAACGCCTTTTCTAGCTTCGCGCCCTTGGTATGCTGTGCACAGTCTTTACCCACCACCCTTCCTTTCAGCGAAATACTGAGCTGAAGGCGAGGGCACCTGGCGCCCGAGCCTGGAGACCTTAGTGTAGTCTAACATATTCCTCTGTACGCTGTATTCCGCCGCTTCATTTGCATACCCAAAGCCCGCGTGTCTATGTGTTACTGTCTACTCTGTCTACCTTTAGCAGCATTGCTGTAGATTACAACAGTGTCTCCACGTTATCTACAACTCTACAACACCCGTAGACCTATCTAGATAACTCGTTTTCTTTTGTGAGCGCAGCTTGCTGGAATGTTGTAACCTAATCTGCAGGACGTCCAGTAAGCAAAAATATCTACAGTAGTTGTACCACGAGAACGAAAAACCACGCCAAGAATCACACATTTTCCATCTGTAGGAGAGAAATGCAAACCGGCGATCCGGTGATAAAGCTTGAAAGTTGAGTTCTTGTGTGGCCTGCTCTGTAACTCCATGATGGGTGTGGACTATAGCGCCTTTCCCTCCCACTAACGCAGTCATCGTGTCTTTCAGCATACAACCCCTTGCCAATTAAATCAATACTAACGCTCCGCCGTCTTTCCTTGGAGTGGCGCTTCCCGCACCCTCGCCAACCCGTGTCAACATGCGTCTTTTTTGTTATCCACACAAGTGCTTATCGACCCCTTGCACAGGCTGATACGTCCAGAATTGAAGACACCGCCTGTAGACTGGCACCAGAATACGATGCGTTGAACGCACGCACACACAGCAGTATTTTCAACCGCGATGAAACTGACGTCTTTTCATTGGCCACCAGTTAGCGCGGTCGATGCCAATGAGAAAAAAACACACAAGGACAAGACGCGGGGGGTTAGCATACAGGCGACCCGCGCGGGAGAAGAACGCCATAAAGCGGTCGTTGGTTGCCTGGTACATATCTTGGCAGCGCAAATCTACATTCGCCGCGATTTGCCCGCCGGGGGGGTTAAAGCTGTGCCGGTTGGGTTGTAAGCCGTCCTCCTGCTATGCTCCCTCGGCCAACATTCACACGGCAGGTCTGGGGCCAGCCATCTTCAGATCGGAAGGCGCTCGCGCTCCACGGGTACCTCGACAATTCAGGGTCCTTCGATCTGCTGGGCCCTGCTCTCGCCAAGGCATGTAGTCTATGCCTTGATTGAACGAAACAACGACAGCAGATTACCGCGGTATTCTAGGACATGTTTGGTGCGGAAGGTGACAGAGAATGAAGACTTCACGGCTTCGCAACGACATCGCTTACCGCCGCAATCAAGAACGACAAGCGTGACTATGAAGTTCACCGCCGAAGATCAGATCAGTCGGAAGCGTTTGAAGGAGAAACAGCAGGAGTGGGCGAGTGGGGCAATCAACGTACGCGGCGTTTAAGCAAGCCCCCGGGGGGGGGGCGGGCCGCCACGTGCCCTTGTATCATAACGTTGAATAGGAGACTCACGCGGGCCTATTATCCATGCGTGTCCTCATGTATTAACTTGTTGTGCTCGTTTCTCGACAACGGTTGTCGCCCCACCCCCCCTCCCCCCGCTCTCGCCCCCGCGTGTCTCCGTCTGCTGAAATAAATGCCGTGCTCGACCCTGCCCCGTAGGAAGGCTTCGAGGTGGTGGCGATCGATTTTCCAGGTCACGGTCGATCGGACCACATGAGCAAGGACGCCTGGTACCCGGTCCTGGACTACCCTGAGTATGTCATCGAGGCCGCGAGGTAAAACGATCAACAAACCAGTATGTTTTGTGTGTCAGGGGATGATGCTGCTGACCAGAAGTAACCGGTTTCAAACATTCGTTCCGGTTGGACTGATCGACGCCATCTTTGGTTAGTCGACCGGCTGGCGTGGTTGGAGCTAGCTGGAGAAACACGCCAACACAACCTATATCTGGTGCCCTAGATAAAGTGGCTAGATATTGAGACAGATCGGAACCGTAGCTTGGGGTCGGCGACCAACACAATTCACTCGAAGGCTTGTCATGCACCTGAGGGCACTACTTGCAGCAGTTTGCTCGTACTGGCAACAATTAGTGGTCATTCCTGGTGCTCTTGAACCGCCTTCACTAACATCCTTTTCTACTCAGCTTCCGTTGCGGCACGCTCCGGGATGCACATCCGTTCGTTGGCGCGATTGGGGTATTAAGTGCCTGGAGAAGGACAGGGGGGAAAAACGCCCTCTTACAGGTTTAGTTTGCGTCCTTCTTGTCGCTGTCGTCCGGGGTTCGCCGCTACCCAGCGCCAAAGGAATTGAATCGTTTGGACGAGGCTTCAGCACCCTCCCGTCGTTCATCAAGCGAGTCTTACATTGGTTTGTCCCCTTCTTTCATTCTATCTATGCCCGTCGCTCGTAGTCCCTACCCAATCGTACGGCGTTGCCTCTCCTGAAGCGAAGAGCTCTGATTCGGCATCAAGCAGAATGTATCCCTCTGCTGTGCATGCCGTGGAGTGCATACCTTACGGTGATGCCGGCTCTGACCAACCACCCTGTCCCTTGGATCTGTGGTCGATGTCGGCTTCATCATCATTTCCTGCTTTGCTGCCATTTTCCATCTTCCTGTTGTTGTTGGTGTTTATTGCTGGCGTCACGCTGAAGAGTCAGTCTGGCCTCCATTCGGCCTTTGTTTCCTCTCCTAAACTGGTAGAAACCTGCAAGGTGGGACCCCCCCTCCCTCTCCCGCCACAGTAAAAAAGGGGGGAAGGCCGGGGGAGGCGATTTTCTTACCTTTTTTCCCCGCTCTCCAAAAAAACTATCACCGAGTCACTCGAACGTACATCGGTAAGCGCACGCAGGTGCGACTTACCGACACCAAGCTCTCGTTCCCTCCGCTGGCCGACACCATCGCCGCCGCCGCCTCTGCTGTCGTTGCGAACCTTTTCCGGTGTTGTTCGTGGCTCTTTCTTCGTGCCGTCTCAAGATCTTTGGGGTGGGAAAAGTTTTCCATGGTGGGGCACTCGATGGGGGGAGCGGTGGCGTCGCTGGTAGCGGCGAGCTTTCCCGAGATGGTGGAGCGGTGCGTCTTTCTCGACATCCTCGGCCCGTTCGCCTCCAGAACCGGGACATCCCCCAAGCTTCTGCGCGCGAGCGTCGCTTCCCGGAGTGAGCTACAGTACAATCGCGTCTCCGATACATGAGGGGAAGTACCTTGTAAGAGGGGCCTCCGATGAAAGAGGGTCGAAACCGGTTGTCACAGACTCGACCCACTTAGAATAGTTAAGTGCCCTCTGTTCCCGCTTTAGGAGGGCGCTCCGACATTGGACTGTCGAGGGCCTTTGTCACGCCACCGTCTGATGTCAGAGACACGACCGTAGCTCCCTTCTGCTGCTGCTGCTGCTGCTGTTGCTGCTGCCTGCAGTTGTCGCCAAATAGTACTTTCTTTGTTTTGCTCTCGCAAACCCATCCCGACCTCCTTTTCAAGTGCTTCGATGCCATGTATGTGGCATACGAGTAATTAGAAGGTAGGTTGTGGTGCTGGCGTTCGTTCGGGGGGGGGGGGTACAGGGGGCTTTGTGCTCACACCCAGAGATGGTGCCTGGAGGAGCGCGCACGACACCAAAACTTCACAACGGCCAGTTCCGCGTGTTGGGTGCTGCGACTCGACCTCAGCAATGGTCTCGCGTGCCTTTTATCTGCTTCGCTTGAATCATGTCGTGGGTTGCTGAAGAATGTTTTCTATTGCGTCGCTCAGTAGACTGGCATCTAATGGGCGGCTGGCCAATGTTTCACCAGGCTTTGGAAAAGAAACCGCGAGAAAGCAGCAGCAGCCTCCGCCGGTGTGTGGAGCGGGTAGATTTTCAACAGGAAGAAGCGTCGGTCCTACGTTTCTAGGGTGCCTGCAGCTTACAACATGAAAAGACGTCGCCCCCGTTGTTCATGGCTAAGGTTCTTGCGGATTAAAGCATGACGAAACGCTGCTTGTACGTTGTTTCTTGGCTAGGGTCCCTGCAGCTTGAAAATATGACATAAGCATGCCACTTGTATCGTTGCTAGGGGCGCTGGTCGACAAGGAGCCCAAGGTGTACAAGTCCTTCGACGAGGCGGTCCGAACCAGGCTCAAGGCTGTGACCATGTGGGGAGGTGCGACAAACACCAGCGCCGTTGCCTCGCTAGACAGATGTGATTGACCTTGTCACCTACCATAGCAACCTGCAGCCACAGAAGATGATGCCCTTCGCCGTCGACACTCGTGAAACTCGTGTGCCATGGTTTTTAACGTTCGGCCTGGGTAAAACATACCCCAACTATGCACAATGCGCCAGCAAGCCTCGCTCCCGAGACTGGTTTTAGCGGATAAACGCTCTGAGGATGAGGTGGCTCATCAAAGGGTATTGGGTTGTGACCTTGGACCATCGTTTGCGGGAAACTTCGAAGACAACTGCCCTCCAAGTTCGTCATGAATAGTTAGTTCTCAATACCGTCGCTGATGCCGCCCGGCTGCCGCTGCTGCTGCTTGCTTTACAAAGAGCGTGCCATGCTTCCGCTGTGTGGTCATATTGTTGGGGCTGAAAACGTCATTCTTTCGCTACGAAATGCGTACCCCATTCGCGACATCGTTTGTTGGTGGCAGAGGGGCAGACAATGAGCTGGAATGGCGCGGTCCGTTTGGTGGCGGGAGCGACGAAACCGGGGGAAGGGGGCGACCAGGTCCAGTTCACGAACGATGTCAGGTACGAGGGGTGGTCTGTGTTCGCATCGGGCATCTCTCTGCGTCGGTAGTCGTCTGTTTTTCCGACCCTGTCTGAGAGTGTTATTGTATGCCTTTCTCTCTCCCTCCCCCTACCTCCGCGAGCACCCTTTCATTTTCCTTCCTTCCCCCTCGTCGTGGATGATAGAGCAAATATCGCTGCATCGCGTCTGTTCGAAGGAATTGCACAAGGCACATGCACCTTCAGGAGAGTGGTCAATTGCCGGGAAAAATTTCTCTCACAACACCTCCTGTGGAGTACAGTTGATTGTGGAATAGGCCGAGGAGGCCCCGAGAGATGAAACTATTATTATGCGGTAATTGCTCTCGATCTGGAGGTGGTAGCCGTGTCGGAGATCCACACGCTTTGTTTCTCGTCCTGCGACAGACTTTGTTGATGATGATCGTGTCTTCGTTTTCGTCGGCCCGTTTAGGTGCCCACTAAAGTCACACACACGCACACCTCACCACGTGGTCAACAACACCGTGGGTCTCCTTTTTTCTGTTTTTTCGTGAGAGACTGCCATACTTTCGTTTCATGAGCTGGTTGGCCAAATCGATGCTACGGCAGCAGTTGAGAGTCACGCCAACGATCTTCAGTAACGTACCCCAGTGTGCCCGTCAAATGACTGCGAAAAGAAGGACGATCCGTTCGGGTTCCGAGATGCGCAAGGCGACGTACTCCTCACCGCAGCAACGGGTATTGATTCCAGGTTACGAAGCTCGTCGCCCAGCCACCTGACGGAGGAGTCGGTGCTGATGTACCTTAAGGCGATCGAGAGCGAGTGCTTGATGATCAGGGGCGAGACGGGAATGCTGGCCAACGCCGACGGCGTGGCGGAGTTCGTGGCGAGAAAGGAGGCCTGTGGGGAGCGCTTGCGGGACCTCGTGCTTCCCGGAAGTCATCACTTGCACGTGAGTCGGCGGTCGGTGTATTTTTCGTGTTTGTGGAACGTTCACCAAAGTTGGAAAACTGCCGAGTTGGTACGAGTGAGCAAGGGGTTGTGGTATTTGTCGACAGCCAGCAGCACCATAGTGCACCTAAGCGTGTTGATGGTGTGCTTCTATGGCAATAATGCTATCTTGTTCATGTTTTTTGTTGTTGCCTCTGCATTCGAGAAACGTTCTGATTCGATACTTCCACGACGCCCGCGATGGACTGCAAGAGTGTCTCCGCGATTGATCACAGGCTAATTCAAGCATGGCGCAAATCACTCCCAACATTCCGCCGTGTGGTGTGTGCCAATCCAATCCCCTTGTACGCTCCACGTCGCCGTCGTCTCGTTTTCTTGGTTGCCAGTTGGACGACGAGACTGCGCCCTTGGTTGCTTCGCACACGGCGGCGTTCCTTCACGGGCGAGAAGGTTCCCAAGAAGGTTCCCGCACTCATCCCAGATTATGAAAAGAAAATCGCTCGGGTGGCAAGATCGTCGGGGGGCGGGGGGTACTCATACTCATACTCATAGTCGTGCATGCCGTCGTCGTTAGACCATTGACCTCGCATCCCTACAAAGCCGGGACGGAGCACGCCGGGTTCTCACCGGACCAGGCTCTCACATCA